ACGCCTTATGTAGGACCTTAAAAATAATTTTTAAAAAATCCACGCCTTATGTAGGACCTAAAAATAATTTTTAAAAAATCCACGCCTTATGTTTAAAAATAATTTTTAAAAAATCCACGCCTTATGTAGGACCTTAAAAATAATTTTTAAAAAATCCACGCCTTATGTAGGACCTTAAAAATAATTTTTAAAAAATCCACGCCTTATGTAGGACCTTAAAAATAATTTTTAAAAAATCCACGCCTTATGTAGGACCTTAAAAATAATTTTTAAAAAATCCACGCCTTATGTTAAAAATAATTTTTAAAAAATCCACGCCTTATGTAGGACCTTAAAAATAATTTTTAAAAAATCCACGCCTTATGTAGGACCTTAAAAATAATTTTTAAAAAATCCACGCCTTATGTAGGACCTTAAAAATAATTTTTAAAAAATCCACGCCTTATGTAGGACCTTAAAAATAATTTTTAAAAAATCCACGCCTTATGTAGGACCTTAAAAATAATTTTTTAAAAATAATTTTTAAAAAATCCACGCCTTATGTAGGCCTTATGTAGGAAAAATAATTTTTAAAAAATCCACGCCTTATGTAGGACCTTAAAAATAATTTTTAAAAAATCCACGCCTTGTATAGGCCTCGGAAAAAGATTCTATAAAAAAATAATTTTTAAAAAATCCACGCCTTATGTAGGACCTTAAAAATAATTTTTAAAAAATCCACGCCTTATGTAGGACCTTAAAAATAATTTTTAAAAAATCCACGCCTTATGTAGGACCTTAAAAATAATTTTTAAAAAATCCACGCCTTATGTAGGACCTTAAAAATAATTTTTAAAAAATCCACGCCTTATGTAGGACCTTAAAAATAATTTTTAAAAAATCCACGCCTTATGTAGGACCTTAAAAATAATTTTTAAAAAATCCACGCCTTATGTAGGACCTTAAAAATAATTTTTAAAAAATCCACGCCTTATGTAGGACCTTAAAAATAATTTTTAAAAAATCCACGCCTTATGTAGGACCCAAAAAAATAATGTTTAAAAAATCCACGCCTTATGTAGGACCCAAAAAAATAATGTTTAAAAAATCCACGCCTTATGTAGGACCCTAAAAATAATTTTTAAAAAATCCACGCCTTATGTAGGACCCTAAAAAATAATGTTTAAAAAATCCACGCCTTATGTAAGACCCTAAAAAATAATTTTTAAAAAAACCGCGCAAAGAATTAGTTTTTTTTAATTTATTTTTTAAAAAAAATTTAAAATTTATAAAAAATCCGAAGTTAATAAAATAAATTTATAGAGTAGGCCTCATCATCGGCCTGAGGCAGGCTCTTTTGCCTTGACATCCTTGATACCCGGGAACCACGTGACAATGACTCAGAAGTGGATGGCATCACTCCCCCGCCTCCTCCGGCTGAGGTGCCTGCCTCCTTATCTGAATCTCGAGGCGAAGCCATCATCAACGATTCTCTGGTAGATTTCCTTTGCTCTTGCCCTGCCTCTGGGCCATATTCACTGCTGCTGCTTACCTCCTCACCCATATCCTCAGGTTCTTCATCAGCCTCTGCTACCACATCCATTTCATCATGTGACTCCGAGACATAAAGCGTCGAACCCATTTGTACATCAATTATGGATCCTGCCTCGCTGACCCTTTCCTTGGGTATAATTTTCCCTTCCTCCTTTTTCGTTTGATATGCTGTGGCAATGATTTCAGCGGATACCAGACGGTGAACATCGCGCTTGAATATTTCCATAAGTGACGAAGTGGAGCGGGTCATAAAACCCATTTTCCCAGGGCGATAGATGGAGGGTTTCGATTGTGAGTCTGTGTGGGAGGAGGGGGTGCCAGGGGTGTTATCTTGAGATTGAGGATCCTCCGTTTGACTGCTGATAATTTCGAGAAGTTCGTGTAGTAAATCTTGACGTTGCAACTTCTTGATGGCCACCATGCTACCACCATCCTCCTCCTGATCCGCCGCCTTGAGGTCGTGATCTGTAGTCCTGGATTGTCCTGTCATACTCGTTATGGCCTGTTGTATGGCATTGCGTATCTGCTGCTGAACCCCCTTTAGCCTTTTAATCTCCTCCTCATACCGCTCATGCTGGGCATGTAGCCTTTGCTTCTCCATTTTCAAGCTCTCAATCCGCTGACTCATAATTTTCATTTTCTTCGACATATCATTGATGGTAAACCTCTCACAGACATCCCGCTTTGCCAGATTTTCATAAAGGTTACGATATTTCAACAGCTCCACATGTTTCGCCTTCAGGCGCTCATAGTTCGAGGTTAGCTTTTCGATAATTTTTATTTTATTTTGATTACTGCGGATCAGCTCATTTTTGAGTTGCTCCAGCGCGGTGAATTGTTCCGTCATTTCTTTATGCTTTGCCATCGTGTCATTGAATTCCTGCTGCATTCGAATCTGACTTAGAACCAGGGAATCGATTTCCTTTTGCAGGGCAATATTTTCACGTATCAGACGTCGGGTATAGCCCGCATTGCGTATCTCACTGGAGCGGGTAAAATCTTCGGAAACCTGCAAGAGCTTGGCTTCCACCTCTCTCTTCAGGGCATCCTTTTCTACCACGGCTTTTTGTTCCATGCTGTAAATCAATTCCTGATGCAATCTCTCCCTTTCCTTGGCCTCTGCCTCCTGATCATCAAATTTTGCCATTAGCACATCCCTTTGGATCCGAAATTCGTCAAGGGAATTTAATTTGCCGTTCAGTAATTTTATTTCCGATGTCAGCTGGTCATGCATGGCCTTATATTTTGCCTCGAGATCTCGGATTTGTTCTGCAGCCTCGGATTTTTCTTTATTCCTCACCTTGGTGATCTCCACCAAACGTTCCTCCAGCTCCGTTATGGTATCATCACGTTCCGCCAAGGTCCTTTCCAAATGGGCTGCCACATCCGTCCTCTCTTCGGTTATATTTTTTAGCTGCTCCTTGAGGTTGACATTATTCTCATCTAAGGTTACCAAATGACTGCGTAGCCGGGCCAACTTTTGATTCAAATCCGTTATGGTCAGCTCATAGAAGGTGCGGTCGACCTGCGTCAATTTATTCGGATCATCTTTGGGCTTCTTCTCCTTTTTACCTTTTTTACCCATAATTCTGAAGCACAACAGAAAAAATTCGAAATTCAAAACTTCTGACTTCTAGCGAACATACACAAAAACTGAAAACTTGAAAACGGAATTTTTCCAATTCCGTTTATTTACCTGGTTGCCAGTGACAACAGGTGTCAGGACAAACCAAGGCAAGTTTGTTTATGGTTGCCAACAGAAAAAATTTTACATACAGTTCCCTTCTACCTCCTTGGCGAACAACTCGAAAACTTTTCCCATAAAAATTCAACATAAATTGTTCGGTAAGTTTTGGAAAATTTTTCTTTTAACTAAAAATTCTGTTCGTTTTGCCTCGACAAGACTCCGCTAAAAGTCATTTCCATTGTTGTTGGCTTTTGGCGAACAGAAAACAAAACCAACGGAACTACATGCACAAACTTACCTACTTCCCGAAATAATAACCCAAGACCTATACCATTGTATTCTCTCCCTATCTCTCTCATTCTCTCTACTTTTCTATGCAGCGCCATCTATATTTTAGTTTTCCTCCGTTTGTTGCTGTTTTTGTTTTGCCTGTAACAAAAGCCGGAATAATTTGTTGCCCCGCAAAACAATCTATACAAATTAAAAACTTTCTTTTCAGAGCATAATTTTTCTCTACTCGCTTCGTTCGACATTTTAATATTTGCGCGTTGCCTGGAAATGGTTAAAATATGCAAAAAAAAAAAAACAACTTGTAGTGGTGCATACTTTTAGGAGGTTTCTTAGAAGTTTGGTGGATTATTTGAAAGAATATTTTTTTGGGAGAGGAGGGAAAAATCGGAAGAATTCGTAGGAATATTTTTGGAAGCATAGAAAGAATTCTGCCTTAATTTTAAATAATAATGTTGGGAGGCTTTTCCGAAGATGAAGTATACTTTTAGGCTATTGACTTCTGATAAAAAAAATTTCGATAGTTTGAGGTATTCAGGATATTAGCTTAGGCTTTTGACTATTAAAAAAAATATTTTGTACGGCTTTTAAACATGTGAAGCATATTTTTAGGAAATTTGGTATACCTTGAAAAAGATGGAGTATACTTTTAGGCTATTGTCTTCTTATAGAATATTTTTGGAATGGCTTTTTGAAAGACGTAGGCTTTTCGAAAATCTACTTTTACAAAATTTGCTTCCAACTTTGCTTCAGAAATGATCATTGAAATATTTTTGGGAACCTTAAAAAACGATATTGGCTTTTTAAACGACTTTGGAACGACTTTTCGAGAGATCCTTAGGTTAGGTTATAGACTATAGATTTAGGTTATAGATTATTTAAAAAATATTTTGGAAAGTCTTTTAGTAGCTTATGAAATTGTGAAGCATACATTTAGAAAATTTTGGTTCGACGTTAGGTCAATTATTTCGGGAATATTTTTTAATGGAGGGGAGGTAAACTATCTCTAGATCTAGAGGACCATTACCTTGTGGCAGCCAAGGTACACATCCGTCTTAAGGTAGCAGCAAAGGTGCGATCTAACACAACACGGAAATTTGATGTCGAAAAGCAGCAAGCACAACAGATAGCAGAAGCCTACTCCGCTCAACTTACCCAAGTGCTTGATGAAAGCACCCCTTGACCTGATAATAATATAGAAGCACAATGGCAGAGAATTGCCCACCCTCTACAAATCGCAGCAAAAGCAACACTTGGTTACCAAAAACCACCATCAAGAAACCCATGGAACGATCAGAAGTGTCGTAATGCTACTGATATGAAAAACGCAGCGTATAGGGCAACCCTGCGAACAGTAGCAACACGTAATGCGATGGAGGACAATCGGGAGAAAAGGAGGAGAAACGTATTTTCAGAAAATATCAAGAAAGAACAAGAAAAACGTAAGCGTGAGCAAATCGAGATGTACAGGAGTCCGAAAGAAGTCCGAAAAATTCTACCAACGGGTAATACACCAAACCGTGAAGTGGATACCACAGAACTAATAATAGATGACGGTATAGAGTGCATAACACCTACCTAGGCTTTGGTGCAGGCACATCCACCTGTAGAGATAAAGAAGAAAACCTGGTGACAGATACAGGCAACATGCAGAGGATCTGGAAGGAGCATTTTGTGAAACTTCTGGTATCAAATAGTAGCAGTGAAGTGGATACTCCAGAACCAATAATAGATGACGGTATAGAGTGTATACCACCTAACCAAGAAGAGGTCAGAATAGCTATCAATCGACTGAAGAATAATAAAACAGCAGGTGCCGATGGGTTACCAACCGAACTATTCAAGACTGGTGGTCAGATGCTGGTAAGGAGCATGCACCAGTTGATTTGTACAATTTGGCTAGAAGAATACATGTCCAATGATTGGAACCTCAGCATCCTATGTCCCGTGCACACAAAAAAGGAGACAAGACAATATGTGCCAACTATAGAGGAATAAGTCTTCTTCCCATCGTATATAAAGTGCTATCCAGCGTACTATGTGAACGACTGAAACCAATGGTCAATGACATTATTGGACCATACCAATGTGGCTTCAGACCTGGCAAATCCACCATTGATCAGATTTTCACTCTGCGCCAACTGCTGGGAAAAAACCCACGAAAAACCCATCGACACTATTCGTCGACTATAAAGCCGCATTCGACTGGAGCTCTATCCGTTGAGAGGTGCATAAAGCCATATCTGCGTTTGGCATTCCTGCAAACTTAATACGGCTATGCAGAATAACTTTAACTGGCACAATGTCAGCAGTTAAAGTCGGAAAGGACTTCTCGGAGCCCTTTAATACCGAACGAGAATTCAGACAAGGTGATAGTTTGTCGTGTGACCTTTTTAACATCCTGCTGGAAATGGCCATACGAGAGGCAAAAGTGAACAGAAATGACACTCTGTACACCAAACAACACATGTTACTCGCCTACGCCGCCGATGACATCGACACAATGGGTCGAACATTGGGAGCAGTAACAGCCAGTATTGAACAAATTGAGAAGGAGTCTGCCAAGTGGGTCTGGCAGTAAACGGCGAGAAGACCAAACTGATGGTATCAACGCGCAAGACATCCAGTAGACTCGGACCAACTGTGGAACTTGAAAACTACAGCTTCGAGGTAGTTAAAGATTTTATATACCTTGGTACCGACATAAATAAAACGAATGACATCAGTTTTGAAATTCGCAGAAGGATTGTGATGGCCAACCGATGCTACTATGGTCTGAGCAAACAACTCAAAAGCAAGGCCACCTCCCGCCTCCCGTCAGACTGATACTACGCAAGCAGATGAGGCAGCACTCGGAGTATTTGAGAGAAAAATTCTCCAAAAGATCTATCGGCCATCTGCGTTGACGGTGAATATCGCCGTCGAATGAACCATGAGTTGTACCACCTATTCTCGGACATCGACATTGTTAGACGTATTGAGCTGCAGCGACTGCGTTGGCTAGGTCATGTTGTGAGAATGGATGAAGATGCCCCAGCCCAGAAGGCATATAAAAGTGAACCAGCTGATGGTTCACGCAGAAGGGGAAGGCCAAGAATACGATGGAAAGATCAAGTCGAAGTCGAACATTGCCGAAAATGGTTTTTCAAATTGGAAAAACTGTGCAAAAGACGACGACGCGCCTGGAAATATTTTCTAAGCTCAGCTTATGGAACGAAAGTTCTGTCACAAGCCAGCTAAGTCAGTAAGTAATCTTTAATATAAAGAAGTTTCCTTAGTGTGGCCACTGTGCCGTATAACTATTGTCAGCACTAATACGCCCCAGAGTATCATCATTACAAAATATCGTGTTTTAGTCAGCTTCTGTTCACAACAGAAGAGTTTAAAGAATAATTTTAGAAGGCCTCACTGATGTACGAGAATACTTGTAAATATTTGTCGGAGGCTGACAAAGGTTTAAAGATTAAAAAAGAAATTCTACAATGTCTCACATATTTTCATGAATTTTTGCTTCTATTCATAACTTGCCTTACACACCCTTCCTTTAATATGTATATAGATGAAAATGCATTCAGGCCACCATTTTTAGAGGTCCCAAAATAATTTCGAAAAATGAAGCTATACACACATTGATCCCAATTTTGTTTAATTTAATTTAAAAAAACACACACACATTTTTCGAATGCGGCCACTGTGCCGTATAACTACTGTCATCACTTATACGCCCTAGAATATCATCTTCACAAAATATCGTGGTTTAATCGGCTTATATTCATAACTTGCCATATAAACCCTGATGTTAATATGTATATGGATGAAAATGCATTCAGGCCACCATTACTTCTGGGTAATAGGTTCATATATTTTTTTGAGAAACTTTAGATATATTCAGAAGTCGCGATATGTTACCAAAATTTGAAATGGTTTCCTGAATTTCTAGTTTTTTTTTTGAAAATATTTCAAACGCATAATTTTAAAAAATCCCCATTGTGCGGTCACTACGGCGTATACATATTGTCACCATTTATACGCCCCCGTGGTCATTCAATTATAGCTTGGCGTTTTTTTCGACCCATTAAGTATTAGGAATTACCGAATTTTTATATGCTACACAACAATGTTGTCAGGGTATTATAGCTTTGTGCAGCCTCAAAAGTTTGTAACGCCGCGATGAATACCGATGATGGCCAATGAATACCCCTATTGTTTTTGGTAAAGATCGTTTAATATTTAGGGAATGAAAATGACCAAAGACTTAATTTTTTTCGGTTTTTCTGGTCGCTCCAGAGGCCGCAGTTATGGTAAGAATAAGCATGCCTGTTTTGATAAAGATCGGTCAATATTTAGCGGGCCAAATGGACCCTGACTTTTGTGTGAAAGATTACAAAATTTTTATTCTGGGGCGTATATACTTGCTCCTGAAGGACATATACTCAAGATGAGTTGTTGACCTTCAAATTGATACCAATTATATGGCTGTATGTACTCCGATGCGGGAGTTATACGTAATTAAGTAAAGGTGACTATTACTATTACCCCATTAGAGGACGGAAATGTCGCGCTGATCGCTTTGAAATTGTATATGAAGTTCCGATTATGGTCGAGGACGACGCCTATAACTTTCGGTGAAGTTGAGATTTCAAGGGGTGCAATGAACCGAAAACTTTAATTTTGTCATATTTTCTAGTCGCTTTAGAGGCAATTATTATATGCAGAACATCACATATTTTACAAGGTGAAGGGGATCTGACCAAATACTTAGAGCGGCTGTTTAGATGATGATTGGTCAATTTTCCGAGGGTCAAATCAATCAAAACCTAAAGTGACCAATTTTTTTATTTTATGGCGTAAAAATTCACTTCAAGAAAAAACATTTTGGAAAATATGCAAGACTTAGAAAGAGGAGTTGTTGATCTATAATCGGTAAAAAGGGTGCAAATATCACGAAATATTGCCCAGGCTCAGAATATAGAACCGCCGAAAGTTAGCTTTTCGTGATAGTTGTGTAGGGTATCATATGGTCAGCCCAGTCCGACTATACTGCTCGGCTCACTGGTTTAATCTACTGTATGAAATCAATCTATAAATTAACGTTCTTTCCCTATTGTGCGGCCACTATGACGTATAACTACCGCCATCTCTTATACGCCCCGGTGAGTATCATCAGCTTTACCAAAATATCAACTTTTAATCATCAACTGTTCTTCATTTTCTTTCTAACATACTGCTGTTCCTACTGCCACCGCTGCTCCTGTCGTTATTAATACTCTACAATCCTTTTCATCCAAAATGAGAATAAAAAATCCCACCGCCGGAGCAGCACAATGCTCGAAACCAACTTGCATATGGAAAGTTAACGGAATTGGTTTAGCGCACTTCATACCTGGCAATGTGGCGTCGATTTTTTTTTTTGTGAATTTCCTCTTAAAAAGTTTTTCCATTTACAAAATTGCTATTAAGTTGCAGCGCTGAGAAGACGAAGAAACAGAAGTAGAGGAAGAATATGAGATACCCAAAATTGAAGAAAAAGCGAAATATTGTCACATTTATTGTTTGGAATTTTTGAGTATGTTGAATGGCGGGTGCTGAGATGGAAGGGAAGGGATTGAATGTAGAGTAGAAGTAAAACTATCAGTCCACAAAACTAATGGCTGTATCACCGAGCTGCAATTATACAGGGTTTAAAAGGAAGGTGGGATAAGGTAAAAACGGAAAGGGAGATAAGTAGCAGATGGCGTATAACTAATGTCAGCACGTATACGCTCTTGAGTACCAAGTGGCGTATAACAAATGTCAACACATATACGCTCTTGAGTAACAACGATTTTCTATAAAAAATATTTTTAGGGTCTACCATAAGTCGTGGATTTTTTAAAAATTATTTTTTAGGGTCCAACACAAGTCGTGGATTTTTTAAAAATTATTTTTTAGGGTTCTACACAAGGCGTGGATTTCTTAAAAATTATTTTTTAGGGTCCTACACAAGGTGGGGATTTTTTAAACATAATTTTTTAGGGTCCTCTACAAGGCGTGGATTTTTTAAAAGTCATTTTTAGGGTCCTACACAAGGCGTGATTATTTTTTAGGGTCCTACACAAGGCGTGGATTTTTTAAAAGTCATTTTTAGGGTCCTACACAAGGCGTGATTATTTTTTAGGGTCCTACACAAGGCGTGGATTTTTTAAAAACTATTTTTTAGGGTCCTACACAAGGCGTGGATTTTTTAAAAATTATTTTTTAGGGTCCTACACAAGGCGTGGATTTTTTAAAAATTATTTTTTAGGGTCCTACACAAGGCGTGGATTTTTTAAAAATTATTTTTTAGGGTCCTACACAAGGCGTGGATTTTTTAAAAATTATTTTTTAGGGTCCTACACAAGGCGTGGATTTTTTAAAAATTATTTTTTAGGGTCCTACACAAGGCGTGGATTTTTTAAAAATTATTTTTTAGGGTCCTACACAAGGCGTGGATTTTTTAAAAATTATTTTTTAGGGTCCTACACAAGGCGTGGATTTTTTAAAAAATATTTTTGAGGTCCTATACAACGTGGGGGTTTTTCAAAAATTATTTTTGAGGTCCTATACAAGGTGGGGATTTTTCAAAAATTATTTTCGAGGTCCTATACAAGGTGGGGATTTTTCAAAAATTATTTTTGAACCCGCGCCAATTTTTTACTCCAAAAAGATGACTTAAGTTCAATCGCTTTGCTATCTGCATCTGCCTTAAGTGTCTCTTATGGTTCCACTTAGTCAGCAAGTCAGTTAGTGAAATTGTCATTTGGATTCCTCTCTCTCTCTCTCTCTCTCTCCGCCAGTTAGTAAGTAATCATACCTTGTTAGGTGGAGGCAAGCATCTTTCAAGTCATATGCATACACCTGAATATTCCCCTACACCTACACACACATACACTCACACTTTCATACATACCTCGCAAAATTTCGCGCCATAACGTGGCGGTGGTGAATCACAAAAACGATAACGATTTCTGGTGCCACCCAAACAATTTGTGGAACAAGGCGTCCATTCGCTCCATGGTCCCCAGCCACCAGTATCGGATTCTGTAAACAAAAGTCAAGAGGAAGAAGAAGAAAAAAATTAGTGTAAAGTGAGGATGATATGGAGAAGATGTCGCTGACATCGTTGATAGCTATCTGAATAGCAGGAACGTCATGGAATTTCAAGAATTGCACGGTTGACCTATTTCCTGGGCAGAGACGACGACGACGCGGAGGCAGTGTCACTTAAAATAGCTTTGTCAAATAAAAAAAAACACAAAAATAATAACAAAAGTTTTTGTATTATTTGCAAAACTTTGTTTTATTTTTTGTTATGGTGCCTCCTTTAACCCGGAACCCTTTTTAGCTGATAAGTAAGTAGATTTCCTCATTTCCCTCGTTGTTTTCTTATTTTTATTTGCTTTGCAGATCAATCTTTTAGTGGACGAACAATAGGCTGCGGATTTATCTTGATGTGGGGGAATAGAATAGAATATTATTGCAATTGTTATATTTGGGTTAAATCGGATTGATATCGTTTTCCATGAACCCACACACACAAAGAAAGAAATCGGCATTTACCCTCAAATGGGAATTTGTTTAGCCTAGGATGTCACATTTACTTTTGTGATGGTAGTACAATAGAATATAGCTTCAGGATAAGAAATTAATTTCTTTATAATGGATAGGATTTTTTTCTACGAATTTTTATTGGAAGTTTTTCGACATTTTTAAGAATTTCTGCAATTCGGAAATAAACACAATTTTTAACGCTGCAAAAAATAAGTTCGTCGATTTAAAGAATATTTTTAGGCTTTGAAGAAGTTCTAAGCCTTTTAAATCATATTTTTAGCAAGGGAGCTCTCGGATATGCAGAATATTTTTAGGGACTTCCATTTTGTTCTGGGACTGTATGAGAATATCAAAAAATGTATACGGCGCGAATATAAAAAATTTTGTTGGCTCCAAAAATGTTCTTGAATGTGAAGAATATTTTAAAGAGCCTCAAGGCGAAATCATATTATTAGGAGGCTCCAAAGTTAATCAATTTGAGGAAAATAATTTAAGGAGGCTTCAGAATTATTCCTGAAACTCAAAATCGCTTTCAAAGAAAATTTATATTTTTAAAGCATATTTTTAGGCGGCTCCTGTGAATCTCTTGAATTTAAAGAATAATCGTAGATTATATCAAAGAAATCTGGACTTCATAATCTGAAGAAATTCGTGAAGTTCGTAGAAAAAAAAAATGTTGGCATATTTTTCGAAGTCTTAAGAAATTTTCGGAGCATTAAAAAAAGAAGAAATTAGATATTACAAATATTTTTTGTGCGGGTTTTGAGGAGTTTAAAGATTTAGAAAGGTATAGAGAAGTTCATAGATTTTTACGAATTTTTGATATGGCTTGGTGAATTTTGTGGATGCATTCTGAATATATTTAGAGCTACGTCTATTTGTTCAAATTATGTTAACAGGCTTCAATAACGTCCTTAGTATCCTGGTAGGGATATTTAGTTGCATTGTTTCAGTGTGGCGTATAACTAATGTCAGCACGTATACGACATGTTCGAGAATTATTAAAGTGTAGTTTTAGGAGCCCCGTATTAATTCTAAAATATATATCTTGGCATGGACATGTACTAGAGCCTAACAGATATTTCTGGATTTTCAAAATTATATTTAGACTCCATAAAGTTTTGGGTTTCTTAAGACTCTCGTTAGGGGGCTTAGAAAAAGTCTGTCGATTTTTTTAAGTTCATGATTTTTGCTTAGAACTTGCATATAATTTTAAATTGTTGATATTATATTCAAGTGACCACACCGAAAATCGTGGTTCGTTGATTGAAGGCATAATTTGAGAAGGCTTGACAAAAATTCATGCAAGAACTTTATTAGGAGACCTCACAAATGTTCGTGGATTTTTCTGAAAACATTTAGGGGTTCTCTAAAATGTAAGTATTTTGTTTTATGTTTTTTATACCCTCAGTCTTATGGCTAATGAGGTTATATACACTTTTATACGTTGAAAATGTGCCTCATCAAAATATTGGTTTTAGATCCCATGTTTCTTTGGACCAAATCCGTTTTAGAAAATTTGGAGTCGATTTACACATGTCCGTTGTTCGTCTGTTTGGCTGGCTGGTGCGCAGGAAAACTCTCGAAGGAAATAATTGATTTCATCCAAACATTGCACATCTTAATATTTCTTCCAAACTTAGGTTAAGTTCGAAGATGGGTAATATCAGTCCACTCCTTCTGGTACCTCCCCCACAAAATGGTCAAAATTATGCTAAATATTAATTTTATAATAACAAACCGAATATCCAAACCTAGATTAAGTAGGTTAGTGGTACCTCCCCCACATAGGGTCAAAATATTCAATATTTATGAATCCAATATCACGCTAATGGAATGTCCGGCTTGAACCAAACTTTGCACAATCTATTACCTTTACCAATCCTAAATCAAGTTTGAAAATTGGACCCATTGGTCCTCTCCTTCTGGTACCTCCCCCACAAAATGATCAAAATTGTATTAAGAATTAATTTTATAATAACATGCAAACGAACTATCCGATGTTAATGAAACTTTGTACAACATATTATCTTTACCAAGCCTAGATGAGGTAGGAAGATGGGACCCATTGGTCCACTCCTTCTGGCACCTCCACCACAAATGGTCAACATTTTCAATATTTGTAAATCCAATATCAGCCGAATGGAATGTCCGATGTGAACCAAACTTTCCACAATCCAGTATCTTTACGAAGTATAGATTAGGTCCGAAGGTGGTCTCATTGGACTCATTGGTTCACTCCTTCTGACACCTCTCCCATGAATGGTCAAAATTTTTAATATTTATAAATGCAATATCAGGCGAATGGAATATTTCATATAATCAACCAAACCTAGCACAACCTACTATCTTTACCAACCTTACATGAAGTCCGAAGACGGGACCCAGTAGTCCACTCTTTCAGGTACCTCCCTCACAAATGGTCAATATTTTATAAAATTTGATCGACACTAAATCCGAAACATATTTCATATATAAAGCTAATAATAAAATCTGTGTGTAATTCCGTAGACCTCCGCAAACCAAAGGCTGGGTGTATATATCTGTCGGCAACACCGACTGATGTTCCCAGATAATATGAATTTCATTACGAGTATCTGGATGGTCTTGGACCTCAAATAATAGTTTAGGGTGCCTCACATATGTTTCGATGTTAAACATTATTTATGAAGGCTATTTTTGGGTCTTCCAAATCTGTTATAGACCATTTGAAAATATTTTAGGTGGACTCATAGAAATTCGGGAATTGTTAAAAATATTTCTGGCGGTTCTAAAAATGTTCGGGAATTTTTAAGAATAGATTAGACTTTCATTTTCAGGAAATTTCACAGAAGTTCGCGGATTTTTAAAAATGTATATTGCTCCAAAAATCTTCGTAGTACATATTAAGAACATTTTAAGGACGCCTGTTGGTGTTTTTTTAGATGTTCATAGATTTGTCACAATACATTTTAAGAAGTTCGAAGAGTTCTTGGAATCATTTTTACAAATTCTCACTTTCGAGTCCCTCAGAAATTCGGTAGGAAATGCATACATTTTCAGGAGGTCATGGATTTCTAAAAAAATTTGAGGGCATCGTACCGAGCCTTTCAAAAAGTTCTCAAATATTTTTATGGGGACTTCAAAGAAGTTTGCGGAGTTTTAAGAATATTTTTAGAAGGCTCAACATTTCTTATGAGGATCGTAGATTTTTGAGATTCTATATAGAAGCACAACATATAGCAGGCAGAAGCCTGAAAATCGGTCGAGATTTAGATATAGCTCCCATGTATATTTTCGTCCGATTTAAGGTAAATTGTGTACCAAAGTCCCTATATATTTTTCGATTGGGAGGAAATTTGGCATAGCGTAATGAATAAGGTCTACAATGATGTGTGTTAAGTTTCCTGAAAATCGGTCGAGATTTAGATATAGCTCCCATATATATTTTCGTCCGATTTAAGGTAAATGGTGCACCAAAGTCCCTATATACCTTTCGATTGGCACGGAATTTGGCACATCGTACCGAATTAGGTCTAGAATGATGAGTGCTAAGTTTCGTGAAAATCGGTTCAGATTTAGATATAGCCGCCATATATATTTTCGTCCGATTTAATGTAAATGGTGCACCAAAGTCCCTATATTTCTTTTGATTTTCACGAAATTTGGCAAAACTTACTGAATTGAGCCTAGAATGATCTCTGCCAAGTTTCCTGAAAATCGGTCCAGATTTAGATATAGCTCCCATATATATTTTCGTCCGATTTAAGCAAATGATGCACCAAAGTCCCTATATATTTTTCGATTTGCACGGAATTTGGCATAGCGTACTGCATTAAATCTAGAATGATGTGTACAAAGTTTCGTGAAAATCGGTTCAGATTTAGATATAGCTCCCATATATATTTTCGTCCGATTTAAGCAAATGATGCACCAAAGTCCCTATATATTTTTCGATTTGCACGAAATTTGGCATAACGTACTGAATTGAGTCTAAAATCATTTGTGTTAAGTTTCATGAAAATCGGTTCAGATTTAGATATAGCTCACATATATATTTTCGTCCGATTTAAGGTAAATGGTGGGTCTTTACTGGGTCTTTCAAAGCATATTTCTAAGCGTATATAAAAAATCCGTAATATTTTTTATGACATGCAAAAGTTCATACACAAATTATTTGCATATTTTTCGAAGACTCTAGAAAAATCGGGAGCATTAGAAAAATAGGCGTTTAAGCATAGCTCCCATATAAGGGTACCCCCAATTTTCGGTATTTTGAGGTTCTTGAGCGTATTTTTCAACCGAATTCGCTGAAATTTAGTACTTTGAGTTATTATTGGGTTGCAAATCTCCCCACAAAAAATTATAAATATAGGTCCATTTTTTCAGACAGTCCCCATATAAGGGTACCCCCAGTTTTCGGTATTTTGAGGTTCTTGAGCGCGTTTTCCAACCGAATTCGCTGAAATTTGGTACTTTGAGTTCTTATTGGGTAGCAAATCTCCCCAGGA